GTGTTAGGTAGTGCTTCGAACATTCACAGTTTCGCGTCAGTGTCTGAATGCCGATAAAAACAATTCGAAGTTTGAAACGAGTTTCATTTGCACTTGATCCAGGTTGATCTAGGCCTTCCTCAGAGTCAGGGTCGTCTGTCTGTAACTCGATCAAATATCAATCGGTCACAATGGGCATTATTATTATTATATCCTGGCTGTAGCTTTAGTTTCTTTTCTGCACTTTATCGTACCCCCTCTCAAAAAACAGACCATTTGAACGGAAGCGCAATTATGCAAAACAGTTACAAAATATGGACATCAAACCTGACAGACAGTGCACCTTATGTCCTCACGCTAAGCACTGTTCACTTCTGAAGGAGATGCACATCAAACGTTTCCGTACTGCACTGAAAATAGCAACCAGAGAGTTCTTCAACTATTACCAAATCCACCCCCCCCCCAAGGTTTGTAAAACGCTCTGTTAAAGCGAGGTTATCCAAGCACACTAGAGAATTGTTCCTCAACTAAAGTTTAACCTCGCTACAACCGGTTTTTCTTAATTTATATATAGTGAATACAACGACGTTTCAATCACACAGGTCACGTTTCTAAAGAATTCTGCTGCTTCTTTCTGAACCGCTGAAATCACTAGATCACTCTTATGACTCTTATAGCCTGGACACCCTGAAATTGCGAAAGCCTGCTGAATCGTAGCAGCGACTACTCGCCAGTTTCGGAATGAGGTGGAATCATGAACAGACAGTGCCCGCTGCAGTGGTCAATTGTCCTGCCAGCGGAGTGGTCGATGTCTTGCCAATGGTTCCTTTTTCTCCATTTTAGCTTGGCCGCAAAAACACTAGCTGGCCCCTAGAGCTCTGGAACAGAACGGACATGGTGAGCGATAGCGAAGTACAAATACAGCTGGCCCAGCCTTCTCGTTGCAAATGCTCCTGTATTCATGTACGACTTTCGGTAAATATTGAGGTTAGAAGATTTTCTCTCACACTCACCTCATCCAGGGACCAAAGTGATATATAACACACTATCACGCCTTGCAGGCCGAACAAGAAATAGAAAAGGAAAGTTTTTAACCGCTGGAACATCGGTTTTCATCGCATTTTCGCAACTGTCACGATTAGTACCAATGGGAGTCGATCTCCATATCTGTGCCATCACTCAGGAATGCCTTTTCCACGGAGTGGTGTTGATCTATCTACTTCAAAAGGATCAGAAGTGAGTGACGCGATCAGAACTTGATCTCACAATCATTCGAGTGCAAATTCACTATTCCATCGACTGAACAACCTCATTCTGACAGCTTCCTCCCTACCAAGCGATAGGGTAGATTCACAAAGTTTTCAAAGCAATAATATAAGGGAGGTTACAAAGGTAAAGGTAAAGTGACAATTGAGTCACAGTAGGTTTTTTTGACTTTATTTCGAGCCTAAATTCATACTGTCTCTCATCCTTTAATGCAAGAGACTTATTGCCGAATATCCTTGCCATTCGAGTGTTAGCAGCGAATTGCCGAAAATATTGTGGCGATGGGTAGATAGCTGACGATCCAAAGTACTATGATTGGTGAGACAGACCTTACAGTGCTTCGTGGCAAAACGGTCTTTCTGCTGCTCTGTACTCAGTCAAAAAAAGTTTAGGCTTTTAGCTCATAGCAAGTCAAAATACTTAACATAGAGAGAAAGCGGCAGAGTACACTGAATAAGGGCGAACCCTCATTCTGATTACCAACCAAAGAATTTGCATTTTGACGGACGGAATTCCTTCATCTCGGAAATGATCGCCAGAAGGAGTTAATGAGGGAATCGGTATGGCACATATTTGACAGTAGTTTTCTACAAGCATGGAATCTGTTTCAGGTACTACATCGTTAATGTTCCAAGAGTACTGACGAGTTGTGGCGCCACGTCACTGGAATAATTAGAGCATTTCTATTTCGATGGAAAACGACGTCTTTTTCACAACTGACGTGATTCGATGAGGAAGCAACAATTGACTTGATA